CATGCCGGGAGCTCATGAAGATGAGTTGATCGCAACGCTTCCCCCAGGTTTTCTTCACGTGCATCGCCTTTTCGTGATTCCCCGGCATGGTCATTATCCAACACAGGACCCGCACCTTCCGCATCCGGTCTGTCGGCAACTTCTCTGCATCTGTCAATATAAAAAGACGGTATTATTGTGAAATTTATCGAGGGACAAGATGAAGAGATAGTGAAGTGGATTTCGTGAGAACCCCAATTTGGAAGCACTGGTTGAGAACCCATGTAGGCGACAGCATGGGTCCCCGATTCTCGCGGGATCATGATCCGAAACGGTTCTTGCTCCACTCTGCGAATAGATATTAGCAGAAAGTCATTATTGTGCTACTTAACTTCCATTTAAATCCGTTGAAGCATAAAGTGTTTTTGCATGTACATGTCATGCCTTATAGATCGATGTAAATATTAATTTTTTTTCTTCACGACTATTCATATAATGAAATTGCGTTTAGACAAAGACAGGAATGAATGCACAGGTACCCGACCGATAGTTGATGAAAAAACCATTCGGGTGAGCCCAATCGTAAAGGCAGCGGGGGGATCCCACGAGATAGGCAGACAGGAACCCCATGCACGCCCCGCAAATCAAGGCGACCAATGACTCTCCTTTCACGACTCTCCCAAACCTGAAAGGGGGAATTCGAATCAGTTTCTTCCTCCGACTCGCCCTAGTGAAGAGATGAAGGATTCTGGAAGAAGCATCGAGGGAAGAGCGGTGATGTCCATATCATTGTGCTCTACGACGAGCACCTCTGCTCACGCTATTGGAGCATTCGAGAAGGACTTTGCTTGGGAGCATCCGATTCAATTGAGCATTGAGCTCACAGTCCCACATTGAATCTGACATGTTTCATCCACCCTTGTTCCATCTCTTTCTAAAGCAGAGATGTCTTAACTGGCGATTATTGCAATAGGACGAAGGCGACAGATCCTACACGGTGCCTATTTGAGGACGACGTCGCGTTTTCGGATATCCTAACATACTCTCCTGGAAATTTATATCCTTGACTTGGTCAAGAAGAATGCGAAAATATTGAGCAGTGAAGAGCATGAATTAAAACGTCGATCTTTTAGAATGATATGGAGAGAAAAATCATCCGCAAACGAGCCCCCAGCCCGCTGACCTCCTTACACTATGCCAGTTCTACAATATCTCAATAAATTACTTCAATCTGTAAAATGTTCACTCACCCCATGCTATCGTGTTTCACTCCATGCTCAGCACTACTGAGGATAGCCTTGCACCAGATGCGATGACCGTCAGAAAGAAGTGGGAAAAGATGAGGCCGCGTCTCCCCGATTCCCGGTACATAGTGAGATCGTGACGTGGAACGATACGATACGGATCTCTCCCAGAGGGCAGAATTTGGAATGGATATATGGAGAGAGTGAACGAGGGGGGTCGCGTCTTCTTTCCATCGATACTTCCTGGAATCTCCACTATCTAGGATGTCCGACTTTTTTCACAGGTTGATTGTATTCGAGACATTGAACTAACCTTGTCTATGAGCTGTTTTTTCTCCTACGTCTCCCCTCGTATGGGGCGAGCACCATAGAACACATATGGCCTACATTTCCAGGAATCGGAGACGAAATGAGTTCCTATCTCATTATAATTAACCCTATGCGTCGAATATAACTGTCAAATTTGGGAACTGTCAGAAATTGTTCATAAATTCCGTCTAACCGATTGAGCACGTATGAACGAGGCTAGTAAATACGATATTGGTCAAAAGCCTTTTAAATTTCGCACTCATACGCATGATAAATCAAAGGAATTGCTCATACAGCCTCTTAACATAATCCCCCCGATAGAAATGCACCTTTTCCAACAATGTGGGAGCTTCCAGAAGCCATCGGCAGGCCACTGTTTCGGTGTTTTCTGCACTTACACCGGTCAGATGTAGAGCCACCAAGTGCTGTCCTCGCAAAGACTCCTTAACGCGGCCAAAAAGCAATAATTGCCGGTGATCAAATCAGGGGAGTGCGGGGGATGTTGGATTGTCTGGCTTCCTTGTCTTATTGCTCGTTTGCCATGGCGCTTCTTCTGAATAACGCTGCGTATGCGTTAATGTCGCCAAATATGCGCCATCGTTAATCGTCTGACCTTTCGGAAACCAATCGATGAATATGATTCCGTGACAGTCCCATTGCACAGTAGGCATTTGCTTCCTAGCGAATGGAGATGTCAATTTCTTTAGGGATGGGTTTCTTGAATGCTTCCACTGCTTTGATCGTCCCGTCGTCTCCGGTTCAGTGATGAAACCAGGTCTCGTCGGCGGTGACGAATCGTCGAAAGAAAGCAAATAGATCTGCATCGTGCAGAGCCATAGTCCATAGTCTTGCCATCGCCACTGAGTCGACCTCCTATTCTCGCAATGACTGGGATTGGAGTTCGTGCAAACAACGACCTCTGCGTGACGCGGAAACTCAATCTTACGATTAATACGTTTGGCAGCTCGGTAGCATACGTTGTCGTCCCAAATTGGAAGTACTTTTTGATCTCCCCTCGTAGTTACCTGCGAATAAATATTAAAGATCAAACCTAAGAATCAAGTGGGACAATGATGGAAGAACGTAGGAAACAAAAAGCGACCGGCGCCGGTTCCCGCCCCTCATTTTAAATTCATAGTGGAAGCCTCTGCTCTCTCTTTCTGTTTGTGGCACAAACTCCGTTTGGAACGGTTATTGGAGAATGGGGAATGAAATTTGTGCATTCGTCGCCTTTAGTGGAAATACAATATTATCATGTGAGGGAGCCAAGGGGCTAATTTAAATTCATTACCTCATCTTATAACGTCAAAAGTAGACATATCCTTGATTCCAAGAAAATTTCTAAGAATTTATTTAGTTTTAGTCTCAAATGGAGCAGAGTGGTTTTCATTCGTGGGTCAACCTTAATGTTTTAAGTTTCTCTCTTATTTATGAAGCATATTTGTTTATTTAACGCTCCGCCTAGGTTGCTCTTGCATGCTCCCCCTTTTCCTTCAAAATTTGGGACTCCGAAGAATTTCGAAATACAGCGAAAAGGGACCTACCATGAACAGCGTTTTTCTCAGCATTCGGACTGGGTGATTTCCACCTTTCTCCCATCACCTTATGCACTCCAAGGAAAAATGTAATATATCCGACTGTATTGATAGTAGTGCCTCATGGTATGAAATGCAATAATTATCGTCCTATCGTTGGAATCATCATATAGAACGTTCATTGAAGTCCACGAATGGTAGGGAAAGATTATAACTTTTTGGTAATTGAAGCTTTCTTCACCAACCGATAGGCAATTTACTACAATGAAGGCAATAGAAAATAAGGTTGGCTCATCATACTAAATTTGTTGAATTAGTTTAAACATACCTGACAGCTAAATTAAATTAATTTTTTCTCCGAAAAATTAAAGATACTCCTTGTTATTTCTAACCTACACTTCCCTGTCTCAGTTAAGAAATACCATTTTTTGCTTCTTTTCTTTACTATTATTTTTCTCAAAAAGAAAAAAAAATAAGCGTAATACTAAGATGCGCTCTTTCTCTCTTTCTTTCATGTACCTTCTCAAAATAATTGGTCGTCAGGATGGAGCATATTCCTCGGAAGCGCCAACGGCTGCACATTCTCACTGACACTACATCAAAACCCTCCGAGAATTTTTCGAGGAAGAGAAAGAGAAAAGTCTCTTGCACTCTACCATCAAAGTGCAGCTGGCAAGGACATCGAAGATATCGGTGTCGACTGCTAAGAGAGCAACGAGAGTGGCCGAAAATTCAGAAATGCAACTTCCGCCTGCTGATGAACCAGAAACACGAGTAAGAGAGTCCTAAGTCCCAGAAGACTGCGGATTCGCCATTTCATCAGAGATGTCTATGCCGACAAGTAGATACTGACTTTGATTTGGCTGCACAAACAACATTTGGAAATCCAGCCGAACCCAGAGGATGGAACTCAGTGGATATGGTCCCGAGCGACCTTGAACAGTGTTGACACGAATCGGATATAGTTGGGCAAAACGAAAGGACTACTAAAATTATATTATTCTGACTAGCCAAGAGGAGCAATGAATCCCATTCAGAAAGGGTAAAATGAAACTTTCCTTTGCAACAAATAGGTATAATTTTAGCAATTATCGGTATATAAGGAGGATAGGAAACTCATTGCTTATTACATTTATGAAGAGTCAATTATGGTGATGAAAGAGATTTGCTTTCCATTTAATGTCAAGTAGCAGAGCTCATTCCAGGAACGACGCGGATATCTTCGTCTTTCTTCGCTTGCTTGAAGAAATCCTAATGGGAGGTTATGTTCGAGCGTGTATGCCAAAAAAGCAACATCCAATTTTACGGACACATTCTCTAAAACAATTTTTTTTAGGGTGAGAAACCGTTTTAAATGCCGACTGGGGCAGTTCATATCGATCCCCCGTATCTTTTCGCATTAGTACGTGGACGATCAAAATTGCTGAAAAAATAAACAGGGAAATTATTTTGTATCCGGAAGACTTGCCGTGCAGGTATTTAGCCTTGGGTAGGCAAGAGACTAATGAAAGAAAAGGCGATTCACTCTTGATCATAACGTGACTGGATGGTTAGGCGAAAACTATTATAGTACAGGAAATTGGCTTATATGGAGTCCGATTCATCAGGATTCTGGCCATTTCCATAGGTCATATGGAATTGGATTACTATTGGATAATCTCGATGCAGTGCCTGTATTCTGTTCATCAGGAGGACTTGAAGATATCGAGAGGGCACATCAATGTAAAGTGTTGACATTCGCTACACAAGTAAATATACTTTCTCGGAATGAGTTGATTTTCGTCACACGGGTATGGACACAATGCTCCTTCGCAAAGAACTAAATATTGCGTATTAATTAATATGCAACAAAATGCAATATTTATCATCTTTCCTGATAGATTGGTGTAGCTCCTCAAACAGAACCGATTGCAAAAGACCCATATCCATTCCTGATTTACTGTATTTTGGACTGTTGGTTGAATCACAGGTACGAAGTCTGATCAAAAAGTTCTAGTAATTTTATTCGTAAACTTTATATTTAATAAGTACATTAAAATTAATTGTTGTCCCGTTTAAAGAATCCCCCCCTCGATGCTATGCACTTATCCCAACGCTCCTGCAACTTCTGGAAGCAGTGCTGGAAGTCCTGGAGTGTAAGACTCTTAAGCTGCCTCGTCGCATTTTCCTTAATGCTTACAATGTCTTCAAATCTTTTTCCTTTTACAAGATATTTAATCTTGGTGATCAGGAAAACGTCATACGGAGTCAGGTCCAGTGAACAGGGAGGGTGGGGTAACAAATGATTTATTTTTTTTTTAGCCAAAATCTTTAGTTGTGAGAGAAGTGTGGGCTGGAGCATTGTCGTGATGCAAAAACCAAGCTTAATTTTGGAAAAGTTGGGGCCCTTTTCTTCTAATTTTTATCGCAATCGGGTCAATCATATATGCAGTGAGCCTGGTTAACTGTCTGTCCTTGTGGGACAAACTCATGATGCATCAGGATCATGATGCATGATCGAAAATTCGACGAAGAGCACAGAGATGACCGGCTTTCAACACTCGTGATTCGCGACTGGTTAATCCTAGCGCAAAGGAGGTTTCAACTAGCGTGCTGTTACCCCCCACCCCCATTCCCACCTAAATAAAACCTAGCCACCTACCTAAATCGTTTTTTTTTTTAGCAAGAAAGTACTGGAACTTTTTGATCAGATCTCGTATACGGTCTAGTCATGGACATTCAAGATCCCTGGGGAAGAGATCGCCCATTTACGAAGTGAACATGGATTTCAGAAAACGACAAATATTGTGAAAGGATCTCGCCTTTCGAGTTATTTTCATTTCTAAATAGCCATGCATATTTTAATGCTCATCACGCAGTTGATAAACATAAAATTGCCGCAATTCAAGGTAAGAAATTATGCGATAGAGCATTTAGCAGTGAATGTCACATAAGTGAAGTTTATTGACTGCAATGATCATTAACCCTAGTTTAAGCAAACAGTAAATTGAGCGCACCGACACGGATGCTAAGTTTTCAACTGCCAGGGCGATTGCTGGTCATAACATCAGCATGCTGGGCGAGAAGGGGGAAGCCATATGGATGTAGGTGGTAGACGAGATACTCCAGAGCGTGCATGAGATTGGGGGAGACATAATGGAAGGAGATGGCAGTATCCGAACAGCACTCGGGTCCTTCCGTGTAATTGTGATGGGTGAATCTGAAGAACCAGTTGTAACGGTTGTCTAAAATGGGGTTGAGGTGCGTCTCTGGAGTGAAAGGGAAGAAACGCCAGCGACCCAACTCGTCTCGGGAATCGCCCGCTTCCACTCCCACTGCCGCCAGGCACTCACCTATTCCGAAAAATGGAAAACATTCATCACGTGAGTCCAATAATGATTCAGGTATTGCAACTAACTTAAACAGGATGCACAAGAGATTGAAAGCTGGAAGAATCTAGTATAAGAATGAGCTTCAGAATGACCATAATAATGAAGCAACAGTTTCATCAATGTTTGTTGAGGAATGTTCATAAAAACAATTTGTTCCTTTGTAATTCCTTTTCAGGTGGATTCAATGTAAATCTAACAATGTAACACATTTAGGCGTTCGATGGAGTTTGCGTGCATTTCCCCGATATATTGTGACAGAAGTTCATCTGGCTAACGAGGAGCTGCTCTGAAAACATCGTGTATCAATAATTTAACTCCAGCGGAGAAATTGAGATAATGCTGCACCAACGAGAATTTCAAATCAACGAATTTGTCAAATATAATCTAGAAACGAGGCTTCCGCTTTCATTTACAGCATTCATCTCTTTATGTCCTCAGGTACAAATGGATTCAGTCTCATATTGAATTATGGAACTCGCGCACTGATGCAGGGAGAAAGGGAAGATTATCAGACCGATGGACACATCTTCAGCTTCCCCCCGAAGAGGACAGGACTTGGGATTCGGCAATGCCTTCTCCACTAGTCTCGTCACCGCCTCACGGCTCAGCACATATCCTCCAATGAGAAAATAATGCCATTAGTTATCCAAATATGTATGAATTATCGCTCATGAATCTGGATTTAAGATGTCCATCCTGACCTGCTCCTCCACTCATGAAACCGTGGAAACGACAGCCAAAGTAAACAGGTTTCAAAGGATCGTGCTTGAGTAGCATGTAGCGGAGATTCTCCATGACGACGTAGGTGTCAT